TCACTCTAGGACAGTGTATGGGCTCAAGGGTCCGATCTGGCAAGTTGGCCATGTTAGGCACGGCAGACCCGATCTCGATAGATCGGACTTTGCTGCCCGTTTGGGCCATGCTAGCCAAAGTACGGGTTGAACAGCCTCGCCTGTCCGGGCTGTGTATAACGATGAAAACGCCCGAACAGCCGTGCGGGAGATCCATAAGACCGACCCTGGCTCAAAACTTGGCTTCAAACGTCAAAGCAGACTGTACGCTTTCAGAGCGGACCAATCACATGAAGATAATTATGAAGGACAGTCGTTATACTATAGCGTCGCACTTTTTCAAATTTTGGTTAACTCACAGAAAAAAAACACCCTTTACCTTTTGCGTATGCGGTGTTCTCGTTGCATTGTGGTAAAGAGTAGTTTCTAAAAAGCGCTCAATTCACTTCTATTCCATTTTATTTTTTTTTTCAGGCGTGCACAAAATGTAGCGCAAAGTAGCGAAACACGGGAGCATGTAAAATAAACAATGGATAACTCTTACATGAAGCCTACATAGCTTAGTAGAGATGCAAATTGAAGCATTTTATGACATCTCAAATGGGTCGTTGACTGTCAGCTGATGCATTTACAGTTCAATATCAAAATCATATCAAACATGACTGCCAAAGAAATAAAAGGGAAGATAGGTGCCGCGTACGCGAAAACCCAACAAGCATTTCATCCAGTATTTATGAAAGTGCGAGACGGGCGATAAGATGCCAAACTGACTTAACGTTGCCTTTAAAGGCAGCATCCAGGCAAATCTGGACCTACGGAGATTTAACGTAAAAAGTAATTTTGGGGTTCTAACTGAGGCACTACCCAACCAGCAACTCAGTAGTGCTCTAACGGCTGAGATATTCCCCTCGAAACTGGAACCCAGGATCGTATTTCGCATGGATGATGGCGCAACGCATGGGTCCTCGCGCGAAATTGATGGGTTGCGCCATGAGTCCATGCGGATGCGGTGCAGGCAGGAGGAACCAAACGCCTGCCGCCTATAGCCGCAGGAGATAATTAGGAGGGCGAGCGCTATGGAGAAGATTTTGACAAGGATCCAGGAAAACTTGGCGAGGACATCCAGTGAAAACAAACCCTTATAAATCTCCTTGGAATCAAGTTTCAAGGATACGAAGGACAGCTTTGTAATCAGTATTGAAATGCGCATTTTTTCAATAATACAGTTAGGTAGTTAAACAACTCTGTCTCGCAACGATTTCTACCAAAAACTGTGCCTTCAAATTTCATCATTCTAAGCTGAGGAATTTCAAGCTTAATGTTACGTGAAAAAAATTTCAACTGAATTTTTGGTGAAATTTCTTTATACGAAGTTGAAAGTATGAAGTAGTAATAAGGGAATAATGTTAACTAAGTTGCATGTGATGAACTTTTGCTACTGTGTACGACCTAAAGGATTACCGACATAGTTTCAATGGCGAATCCTATGAAGCCTCTAATATCAAAATTTGGAATTAGAATGGGTTTGAAGTTATGAGACAAACTGCATATGCATCTTGACACAAACCTCCAGATGTGTTTTTATGACAATTTGATTGCTTTGGTTCACTAATTCAAAAAGCAAACTATTCCCTTATCTCAAAGAAAAGTAATGAATTTTGAATGAAAACCCCGAACCTCAACAACTTGGAACTTCAAAATTCAAAACAAAAAGTTTCTATATAGTTAACTAGTTGACTTAGTTGTAGTTGACTTTTGTTATCACTACAATTTCGAATTTTCACTTACTTTTATGCCCAGTGAATGCGCCTTTCAATTTGCATTACAAATGTGTTTTTAAATTTTTGTCATCTCCAGGCGAAGCTATGAAAATTTCTTCCTAAAGAATGTCCTTGCCGAGTTTTCTTGGATCCCTGCCAAAAAATTCTCCACAGAGATCGCGCTCTTAATTATCTCCTGCGGATACAGGCGGCAGCCCTTTGGTTCCTCCTGCACCACCCCCGAGTCCATGCGAATACATCCTGGAGTCCAGTTTTTTTTCGATCCTGGGGTTTTTTTACGGGAATATCTCAGCCGTTAGAGCACTACCTGAGATGCCGGTCGGGCATGCTTACTTAGGTTCCCGAAATTACTATCCGCGTGAGATCTCCACATGTCCAGATTTGCCTGGACGCTGCTTTTAATAAAAATCGTCTTAAGATGGCGAAATTCCTGCCCTCCATAGCATAATACTGTACCGATTATCCAGCAGTAAACGATCTGTTTACTGGCGCTACCTTCTAAAAGTATCGCAATACCGTCATAATAAGAATGGAACAACGCAAGTAATGAGGCAAGGACTCTTTGAAGGCGCCAAACTGGAGGTACCGAGATGTAATGGCCCAACAAACTGTTGAGGCGCAGAAAAAAACGTAAAATTGAGAGAAATGCTTTTCTCACTAGTTGGCATGACCTCCCGAAATCAAAGCGGTGAGTATTCAGCTATTATTTTTGAGTTCTGCATTGCGAAGATAGATAAGGTCTCGCGCTCCCACTAACGAATTACAGATATCACGAGATCACAAAAACTACGGAAATATAGCTTTACAAAGATAACGACCCTCGCGTCAGCGACTCAACCCGAAGGGATATAGCCAACTCCAGAAACCCGAAGGGATGTAGCCAACTCCAGACAGCGACTTTAGCTGTACTGTTTAGGCACTGCCTGCGTGAACAATTGTCCCTATACGCAATTCAGCAGTGTAGAAGATCAATAATCCAAAAAGGTACGGATTGACGTTAATGGCCCCTGAACTTGTAGGCTGTAACTCCTTCCTACAGCTCTACCGTATTCACTAGAAAAGGTTTTTAATCAAAAATCGATGTTCTTCTTCGCTACCCATCTGCATGTCGCTGCGCTACTCACAGATCAATGTCCGAATGTCCATTCTAGCAAAAAAGGACACGCGTGGATAGCTTTAATAGGCTTTGCCCAAGCGTTCCAATGTCCTCAACTAAAAAAACGAAAAGAGTTGCGTATATACCTGCAGCTTTCTGTAAATGCTCCGCTGTTAAAGCAAAAAATCAACATCTTCGCTTCTCCAGACGAATAAATGGAAGGTATGCAGAAGCTTTAGAGGTGTTGGTCGGTAATATTACAATTTTTGTGGCAGCAGTGAGCATTCACATAACAGTGGGCTCTTTAGACTGAGCTGTTTTTGAGATGAACATCACTTGCGGGGGACTTCGAGCAACTTATGATTTAAAGGATATGGTATCAAAGAGAGAGACCGATGATAACGGCACCTTCAAAATGATGAACTTCAAAATTATTTCTCGATCCATGATGCGGAGCTTGATGTTTGGCCAAACGATGTTTATTTTGTCAATCAGCCCAACTCTTTTTTCCGACGAGGCAACTTTATTACATTTACACTTTGCAGATCGATCCACACTTTATTGATCAACGTGAAAATGAGAACACGATCGTTCGTGTGTTGTGCACTTATTCAAACAACCGACATTACCTCTCCTTTGAAACAATATCATCTGACAATGGTACAGATAACTACATAAACTACTTATATAGGTTTAGCGGGAGATAGATGATTCTAGAAGAGATTGGGGATCTTAACATTGCCAACTAAACGCTACTATTATAGAATTAAGACAAGTGTTTTTTTTTTGGTTTTTTAGGCAATAAGAAGACTAACAACTGAAAGTGTTGTGCGATATTAACCGCAAAGCACTTTGCTAAAACAACAGTAACGAGGAGCCAAGAGATGATGACACAAGGCTCAAGATCTACTTACTCGCATGGAAGATGATAAGAAGTTTAATATTAGCAACCAGATGGAAATTGATTGCATGACATCCAGATGGAACGGTGTCAAGGTCTATGCTATGAATACAGATAATTACAACGAAGAATGAAGAGTTTTGAGGAGAAAGATGAAAGTACAGACTACGGATGGTGGCGGATGAGACTACATATGAAAGATGACTACACTTTGTACTAGAGAGGACAATTAAAGAGAGAGTTTAAGGCATCTTATGTACACATGGGCTTAACACGAACTGACTGCAGCCACTCATGCAGAGAAAGGCCACAACACTTCCTTCAGAAGCTTCAGGTCGGTTGCTTATCGACCATCTGAGAGAAGCTGCTCTCCACACCCGAACGAAACCCCGAGTACAGAACAAATTAGTGTAGAACAGTTCCATGCAATGAACAATCTGCCGTAGCCAATTCAACAATACATCAACACAAAAAGCAGTGCAGACTTTATGGTAAGCTGGCCAAGGCAAGTGCTCAGTTTACACAGAATGCTACACCTCCTCGTTCTTCCTCAAAAGTGAACCCGAACAGGGGAAGGAACAAGATGTTCAACGTCCCCTTACTCGCGTAAAAGAATTAAATAACGAAAACAATGAAGGGGTATAAATTAAGAATACAAGTGGTGCTATACATGGAACGAGGAAAGCGAGCGCGAACAGGTAATGTGACGAGTAAAAAAATTGCTATGTGGTATCTACAACTCAGACTGCAGTACAAACTCAAAGATTCCCATTCTGAGTCGCAGACACAACACATAACCAAGACACGGAAAACCAGCACACCGTTCTATACACGCATTCAAAAATGAAACTAAGTTACATATAAACTACACTAATATTACAAACACCGTGCGCAAGATGACCACGCACGAACACATCACTGACTGTCCACACTGCTCAACCACCAATTATGTACAAATATGATTCTGGGCCACTACAACTAATCGACTACTTCCGTTGTGAAGGAATCCGTTCTTGCATATTCTTTGGTGGATTCTTTCACTGCACAAGTAGCGATAATGATTGCACGCTGCACCTCATGCTATTTACAATATTAGCTCGAACCGGTGATGGTATTTGTGGAAGTGGGGAAAGGAGGGATGAAATGAAGAGGATGGAACACACAAACAAGAGAAGGGGTGCGACCCGGCTGAGACATACCCGCTAAAACGCGGAGAGTGAGTGTGCGATAATGATATAGTGGTCTAGAACGACGACGAGATATGGTATAGATGTACTAGCAGCTAAAACGCTACATAGAGAAGGGCATCCAGTACGGCATTACACGTTCACCTCGGTTTCACGATGCTGCTGAGCGAGCAGATCCGTTTTTGAGTTCTAAACAATGGTGATGATTTAAAGTAAGAATGAGAATCTCAAATCCTCACCTGTCTAACCACTGCAACCTGACATGTCTCTGGAGTTGGTCCACGAGAGATGCTTGCAATCAAGCGACGCATTCCATTCAAGGTGTTGCGAGCTTTGAGTGGTGTAGGCGGATGTGCTTCAGACTAGAAAGAAAAGATGAGGAAAAAATCCGATGAATTTTTTGATCCAAGACTGAATTCAAATGAACAACAGAGCCCAGACAAATCCGAGTATCTGCGCGCTTCAAAAATGCAAAAACGAGGAGTTCTCAGGCCGTTGTCCAAGCAGCGGTTTACATAACTCATTAAGCTCAATGAAACAACTCTAGACGAGATCGCGTACTCAACTAGAGTGCGTACTATGATGATTTATGTGCTGCGCCTGAGGCAACAGTAGTCAACTTTTACGTATTCCCTCATTACTGGAACAAAAACAAAGATAAGAATCATAATATGCACCTCAGCTGCGACGGTCTCTTTCTTCGCAGCATCGCCGGAATGCGAGTCAGCAGCAGCATCAGTTATCTTTTTGGCGCTAACAGCAGCTGATGGTGGTTCGCTTCCGGGCGGGTACATGATCATACCACTGAACGCGTCTACAAATGCCTCCGGAGGCACCATGAAAAGTGGAAGTGCCTGCAAAGAGAGTAAACGTATTCAGAGTTCTGACACCACTATAAAAAAAAACAATACCTTGCGGTCGCTGGTGCCAGTGTGATTTGGTGGTGCCTCTGTGGGACTGGCACTACTGATCGAGTCAGTTGTACTTTCTTTGTCATCCTCATTGATTGCGATCTTATCGAGACGAGAACTTAGACGAGCTGCCACAAAACGATTCATTACGTTGAAATGTTCACTCATCTGCAGGACATCCCGAGCAGAATCAATTCTAAAATACGAGCATGAAAAAACACTGTGAAATGTGACTTTGTTATCTTGAACAGAAACTGAAAATCTAACCGAAACAGATTGCTTGGAGTTTGAAGGATGGTGCTTGGCGCACTCTGCTTGACCCAAGGGTGATCGAGCACTTCGTTGGCAGTGAGCCTCTCACTCACATTTTTGACCTAATCATTTACGATTGCACACCTCAAACAGAAAAAAAAAAGAAACTCACCAGTAGACTGCTAACGAGGTGTTTGGCTTCAGCGCTTATCATGCTCCACTCTTCCGCTGGGAAATCGTACTGACCGCATTGGATGCGACGAAAGAGCTCCTGTTGGCAGTCGTCGCAAGGTTGACCTTCAGACCAACTGAAATCTGTCAAGACTATATACAGCATCCAACTCATCATTTGCTTTGCAGCTTGTCAATAAGGAGTAGGAGTGTACGACTGAAAGAAACGGTCAAATTCCATAAAAAGTTCCATAATAGAGCGTTTCTGACTCTGCTAATCATTATCATCTCGATTATCACTTAGATTAGGTATTCACGAACTTTAATACGAGTCGTTAAAGTAGAAGAGCACCAACCCGCAGTCTTCATCATCGCATTCGCCCTGGAATGGAGCATAACCGCAAAGCATGATGTACAGAATGACTCCCAGTGACCACATATCACACCGCTTGTCATAGCGCAGAGCATCATTCACAAATGCATCGACCACTTCCGGTGCCATGAACTCGGCGCTTCCGACAGGAGACGCCAAATCCGGCTCGGAATTGATCTGTGGCATCTTTGGTGGAGAGTGGCCTTTCACAGGGCGACTGGCCAGGTCCAAGTCACACAACTTCACTGGGCTCACGCGGTCAGGCTCTGTGCACAGGATGTTCTCCGGCTTTACGTCGCGATGTGCTATTCCTAGAAAAGACCGACTTGCTGATACTGTCAATTCATACTTTTGCAAAAGGCACACCTCGGTCGTGGAGGAACTTGAGCGCAGTAGCAATGTCCACGGTGACACGGCGGGCCTCTTCTTCGGTAAAATAACCCTTACGGATGATATGTTCAAGCAAAGGTCCTCCTCTCATCTTTTCGAAGACCATGTAAAAGTATGCATCGTCTTCGAACCACTGTAGTAATTAACATTAGCACAAAACGTATAGCATCGGAAGTTTGATCATCCATGTGACTCACTTCGATCAGTTGGACAATATTCGGCTGGTTCTTGCACATCTTGAACGTATTCACCTCTCTTAGGATTCGCGACCGGGTGTGCGACTCTTCGTTCTTGTCAACGACCTTAGATATTCTTTTCAAAAATGCTTCCAAATTCAAAAAAGTTGAACCACACCTTCACCGCATATTCCTTTCCAGAAGCGATTGACACACAAGTTTGCACACTCGCGTACGCACCCGCACCCAGTTTCTCCTCGGTCAGTTTGTAGAAATCTGGATGAACTAACATCATGCAACGTCCACGCATGGCACTTTCAACCCTAATTACTCTGTCACGCATTTGACCCTTTGACCCAAGCATTACAGGCCTATGATCGCAAACAAAGAATCTGCAGACATCTGGTGCTAGGCGTCAAGCAAGCTCCTCTGTATGTCAACTTGGTCCAGCATTTGGTAGTTGAATGAACTTGACCACAAAACGTGACTTAGGTGTCTTTCAAAGCTACATCAATCTCCAGTGAAACCGGTTCAACACCTATGAAACCAAACATTCAAAAATCCGGATCCCAAAAAAAAAACGATTTCACAAAAGATTTACAGCTTCGCAATCAAAAGGAATTCAAGGTAAGTTGAGAAATTATTTTAGTAATGTTGCATATAGGATGCTCAAAGCTAGCAGAACCAATCTAGTACTGCCCAAAAAGTGATTCAAAACGATAATGTTGCGCGCAACTTTTGCATCATGAGAATAAGGCATGTTTAACGCGATGAAAATGCGAAAATATAAGAAAAAAAAACGACAGAGCACGAGTCGGTATAATATGCGCATAATTATATGTCAAAATCTTGCGGTATCATCATAAGCGGTAACATAACCGGGAAAGATGAGGAAAATTGAATGATCAAACGAAGCTCTACCCTTTCGCAACATGGCTGACTCTTTCCGAGTTGTCAAACGACAGGGAGAAATGCATGCACGTACCGAAGAAACCAGGCTTGTGCTGATGGGATCCACTGCGAGTTCGATTTCTGGGACTGCGTACGGTAGATGACCCACTGCCTCCACGCATTCCAAGAGGAACTAGCTCAGCCGGTGGCTCATCGTCTACGCCATCCACATCACCATCGCTCTCGTCTCCCTCGAACGCCCCGCCGAAAAAGCGGTCCGTGTCGCGACCACCGTAGTACGACCTGTACAAGTTGAATTTCTATATGACAACAATACAAAATAGAAGTTCTCTTACGTTTATACATACTATAATATCGTACAATTACCAATTAAACCCTGCAGCCCAGTGCCGTTATATTCACGCCGTTATATTCATTGGTGCCACAAAGGAGTAAACAGCCCGGTGATAAGGTCAAACTGTCACGAGTGTGATACGAACAGTAAAGACATCAGACGAAAACATAGCTAAAGTCAGTAGGTGAAGCGCTGTTTACTCGCAAACGCTTGTGCAAAGTTCTGGTTGTGTAATCGTTGGCGAAAGAATTTTGCAAGGCAAGAGCAGCTCGCCAGACAAGCACAAAGTGCAGATAAGATGTACGATAATGTAAGCGCGTGGAGTAAAGCTATGAGTCGATGTCATTTTGCAAGATATATGGTAAACATAACAGTAAAGTCTGGCAAAATTCCCAAAAAATCACACAAATGAACGGACTCCGACTTACAAAAAACCTTTTTCGATGTACGAAATAAAGTCCATACTTTTCTTGACTAATAAATATGCAGAACAACCAACACAATACCTGCCCTTTCAAATAAATCCCCGTAAGATTATTACGCGAAGCACTTTATGTCGCGCTGTACAATTTCCATCCAAAATAAAGAGCGTTATCATAGCAACAAAGAATTCTGTTTGCACATTCCTGCAAAACATATGCAAGAAGAACAGCACAAACCCATCGAAAAAGTGCAAGGCGACTTAAAAGGGGTCTTAAAAAAATCAAGACCACCTATCCAACTAAATTCTCGTATCGCTCGGTAAACAAGTCGGCCACTGCTGTTTTGAGTAACTTTCAGGGCAGATGATTGTCACTACGTGATATATCAGACTATGAACCAACCTTACACGGCGATCACTAGATTCACTCGAGGAGTTACTCCCGAAGCGATTCAACGACAGGTCTCGTTCGTCGTCGTCGCTGAGAGGGGCATCTGAAAAAAAATGCGCTTCTTTTCTGAGCCGCTATGTGTAAGATCAACAGAAAATTAAAATAGAACTCCAAGTATGTGCACCTAATCTAGAATCTACTCTTTCGCTGCTAACTTCGGGTTAGCTAAAAACGATCGCAATATCCAATCACGATTCGCGATCGTTCATAATGCTACATCGCATGGACTAAAGTGCCGGATCAGCAAAAACTTGCACGATTGTACGAAAGGGAATAATAATCGCGGGTATGGCTAGAGGGACATGTGGCACAAATATATTTGCATTCCATCCCTCACCAATAAGACTGAATGCACTTTTGAAATCATGGAGAGAAAGGAAACCGTGGAACGACAAAGTGAGAAGCATTATGCTCTTATGTGCAAAGCTTTGTTGCCCTTTCCTGCCTGCAAGCGCGGAATTTACGTTACTCGTCAACGGAAAGAGAACCGAACATGCAGAACAAGAGGCAATCCTCAGCAAAAGGTAGTTTGCTCTTAGAATGTAAAGAACAACGGAAGCTAATAACGTACAGCGCGTCACCTGCTCTTTTATGAATATGGGAGGTGGGATGAAACCTGCAAAGCGGCGTTGAAACTAAAAATGCGGTGGCTAAATCAAGGCAGAGCTCTTCAAGCATAATTTCATCGCAGCAAAAAGTAGAAGACTGCGTCCGCGAAAGCATTGCTAAGGCTAGAATTCTTCTACGCAAAACACAGGCAATGAATTCAGCAATATTCATACGTTCTGGATGCATCTAAGTGTAGACCAGACCGCAGTTATTGCAGGCGATCAGAAAAAGCTACAAGATCTGTTACAACATCCATGACTTCCAACCGTATACAACAGCGGAACTTCTACCCGTCCCAACCCCAAGATTTCTCCACCGCCTTATGTTTTCTGCCCCAATCGGTAGATAAACTTACTGCCGATTTGTTCGATGACCGAAATTGGGAAGCCATTATGTAGCAGAGTCATTTTTGTTGTAGGAAAAGTACCGGTAGATCAGGAGAGGGCGAGTGGACAGAGAGGCCGGCGGCTGCACGCGACGCGCTCGCTGGTTCTGTGGGCGAACGCGACGACGGGGGACGCGCCGCGTTCCCAGTCGATACGCTCCGCCCCTCATCTCGAAAACACGACGGAGTGGAGGGAGGGGAGAGCTGGTGGAGAACGTACCCTGCGTCCCTGCAGTCCCGTGCAGAAGACGGGGAGCTGCATCACATGGCGGCGCGTCCTCCACCCGTGAAAGCGACGAGGGACTGGCTAAGGGACTGCCTGCTGGAGTCAGCTTCCAAGCTATCTTTGGGTAAATTTGAATTTGCTCAGCTTCGGAAGTACCTTCCCTAAAATTTGAAGTTGCTTTCAACTCGCATACAACGTTTCTGCATTAGAATCATAAACAGTCAGCAATGATTAGTCCGCTGGAGTCATGCAGCTGCCCATCTTCATGATGTTACAAAAAAAGGGATGATGTGATATTTACTAATTTGCGAATATTCGGGCAACAATTGTGTCGCCAAAGATGGGCATGCTTGGTAGGAAATGGTGGTTCAGATTCAAAGTGTATTGTCAGAGCAGTGAGTGATCAAGACCATCATTCTTTAAAAATGAAGATGATGTATCGACACTGAATATTTACAATCTGGTGTTTTGTCGATGTTAGTCTCATGACTTTGACGAGCAGTTTACCATTCACTGAGAACGCGATCAACTTCGATTGTACTACATGTTGACAAATCAGCAGTATTCAGACGTATTCTTTGCCCGAAAGATTGAAAGGCCTTATCGATAATAAACCAGTTTGGCAAACTAGAAAGAAAAAACCTCTAATCTAATAGTTGCGTTAACGAAGCGTCACCTATGCTTTCGATCTCAGCGCGTCAACATGATTTATAGACACCCTTCGTTTTGAAAAAGGCAAAGAGAAGAAAAGGTGAACATTAATGAGTTATACGTTCTGAATGTAAGCAGAACTTCACGGGTACCCGTTATAGTGAAACTCCAAACACTGTTCCTAAATGTAGCATTTTATCCTCGATCGAAAAAGTGCATACTGCAACGCAAAGCAAAAACTAGCATTTCCATATCTGCAGTGGCCATTACAAATTCCATGATTATTCCATGGCGAAAGAGGGTAACAAGGATTGCCCTTTCCCTTTGCACGTAGAATTCTGCCAGACGTCGCATGGAAGAAGTGTGTGCTTTGTGCTCAACGTTTCCTTTGAGGTCATGAAACATATGTATGAAGGAAAGAATCGTCTTTCACACATACATGCAAGCATCCTGATATCCCGACATGGCAACATTTGAGTTTGCGATCATGAAAAATAAAAGTTCTCGAAACACTGTCTAGTCCTGACTTCGCTAGAGAGATCACTGAAGTGGAGAAACATGTCTATGAACATGGGAACAAAAGGACAGAAACATATAATGCAACTGAGGCCCAACTCCAAAAGAACTCCGATGAATGTTACCGTTCATGCTTTTATTACAACATCGAAATTCACTTAGTCCATGCGCGTCCAAGAAGTCGTTCTGGAGAAGGGGACAAACACGCCATCCGAAAAATTTTTTGAAATGCTTCCCCACCCTTTGAAGAGGCCTGCGATCTCGAAAACTGTGGGAAGCAGCGGAAGCCATACCCAAAAACCAATTTTCGGAACATTCCTCAATTCTTGTAATACACCTACATCATCTCATTACGAAGGAAAATGGGATTCCACTGATAGAATCCTTTCCGTCACATTCATGTCCAGATTGCCAAAAAAGCTAAATTATCCCAACAGAAAGAAGCACAACAGTCCACGTCGTGAAAAAAACTTCGCATAAGAGATCCCCTTTGACTGTCAATTTTCATCGTTTTTACTCCTGAAATCAACTGGAGATTCCTCAAAACACTGGCTTTTTACATCTAGCAACTATAGCGCGATGTTTGCACGAAACTTCTAAATTTAGTAACATCGATATGCAAGCCCGTGTACTTCTCGATGTAATACGTGGTGCACTCTACGGCAAAAAAAAAAGAAGAGAAAAGAACGTCTGACATGATTATGAGAGTTGTAAAGGAGAATAGCGTTGCGATAAAAACGTCAGCGCTGTCAACTGTCTCGAACACTAATACATTTTTTCTACGATTGCAGGCTGCAGCTGAAGTGTATCTTGGTAGTACAACAAATTCTCCGGAGTACACACTCCGGAGAATGCAGCGAATGAATCAATGGCAGAAAATTTCTCATATTATGAGCTCAGACATGAGAAATATTACTCATCATTCTCTCTTATTTATTGCTGATCATTTCCGCTAGCAAAACTGGCTGCAAATGATGACGACTGCGTGTGTACATGCGTGACAGCAAAGTCATTCTGATGCAATCTGTACTTCGCAGTAATGGCCGAAGCCATGGGATGATGGAAAGCTAGTTTAGATCGATGTACTGATGCAATGTTACCCCGCAAGGGTATCACGCGTTCCGCAGCCTCGATAAAAAGCGCATGATCCATGCAGCTGTTCCAACCAGACAACATATGGAATGGCATTTCACATAACTGTATATATTACATAGATTATCGTATCCGAAAGAAAGTTCATACACCATCAGCACGTCGAGTCATGCATGGGAAAAGAAGAGCTCAGAGACCTAATGCAGGGAGTTGCAGGGTCAAAATCGCAGAAAGGGAGCTAAAAAGGAATGCGACAAATTATTTAAATTTGATGATCCAAGTCCTCAAACACAAACTCGGTGACCTTTGTAGACCTTCAAACCAAAATATCGACCGATCTATTCAATCATTACAGAGAAAATCATTCACACCTAATCCACATCGTTTCAGCGTCTCTTCTTCTCTTCTCTCCCCCCCCCCCCCCTCCGCCCCACCTAACTCTGCCCAGTGAAAGCGATTATGTAAGGCCGCCGAAAAATGGAAGTAAACATGTGCGCGGGGTTCGCAAAAAATCTAATGTTCAATGACGCGAGGTCAAGAAGTCGTTGCCATCTGATGCTTGGAATCGAAATGCAAAAGTATGCTATGGTATCGTCAGATAATCGATATTTGATAAACAATCTCTTACAACAAATCGATGCAAAGAGAGAAGTCTATAACATTCAAAGTGAATGTCAGTTGCCAAGTCATTCGCTGATGTTCTCAAGAATCGAACTCCGTAGAACCAGTCCTTTAGCACTCCTACTTCCTTGAAAGATGAAGATCTGCCATAAGCGAGCTGGTGATTAATGCAAAATATGTGAGACGGAGATGCTCGTTTGAAATCCTAAAGCCCAAAAAGATTTTTATTAATAAATTGATCACACTTGCCAAAAGAATTCCGCAAGCAGATTAAGAACGTACTGCACCTCTGTTTGCCGAGTTTTACCATAATGCACAAATTCGAATGGTCGCTTTCCTTGCAAAGCAAATTCTGTGAAAGGCTTGGAAGCCTGACTGACCAACTGCCCTTTATGGTTTTCAATTTCGGTGAGATATTTTTGCCCAATTGATGGCGTGCTTGGTAACTAGACATTATGAAGTTTCACAGCCCTATCACTCAAACAGTATCACAGATTCAATTTTCTGCAATTTTTGAAACCGGTACCCGCACCAAAACATGCCAAAAAGCACGTCGCAGTGGATGAATGCAAAAAATTCCAAGAAGACGTGCCTTTACAGAGTTCGAATAATCAAGACTGGCTAAATTTTCTTCCCATAAGTTTCTGCAAATGCAACGACTTTCGGCTGCGAAGCAGGGGTGTATGTATGACCCCATCAGAGTGTTCTAGATGCTGACGCTTTCGCCGGGTTGCAGATGCGCGATGACCTCTTGTCTAGAGTTTTCCAGATCGTAAGCAAAACAATTGCATATAGCAACCCCAAGATCCCCGTCTATGTAGAATCTTCCAGATCGCTGCCGACGGGTCGACGCCGCAGCGACTCACGTGTCGCTCGTAGCGCTGCGTCTCTGGCCCGCAAACCTTCGTCTCACCGCGTTTCCTTTGTGCGCGCTGTTCTCGCACCTCGTCGGCTGACCGACCGCGTCGCAGCAGCGATCATCACACCACCATCAACAGCAGGTTCGCTTCAGCGTTACGAATGCATCGATTCAAATGATGTCATAGACGATACATGAATTTTTATTATTCGAGGAAAGATGCAGCTCATACTTTTTAAATTTAGCAAGCGGCGTAGATTTGATTAGCGTCCGTTCACTCGCAGAAACTGCAACCTGCAGCTGTTAAGCCATTTGTCACCCTCAAAAGTACACTGCATACATTTCATTATGAATTTTCTATCACACTGAATTTTCTGTCACACCTTCTACAGGCACCTGCAAAAAATCCCTTCAGACCAATGAAACTGCACTAAATATAGCTCCTTCCGTCAGGCGACTGAAGCAAAGTTTAGAATGGAGTGGAGACAGAGACTACCTTCGGGAACCACGTTAATGCATGTGGTCACCCGCTCAGGTAAACAACTCCACCATAAATCGAAAAAGCCAACTAAAGTTTCCAAAAATCATGTGGGTATTTTGAAGAGGTAAACTCTTCTCTTGTGGATTTTCAGGCCTCTTCCATGGTGATTCAAAATTGGTTTACTATTTAGTACGGACTTGGATACGAATATCACATGCGCGAATCTAGAAATGATCTACATGAATTACGAAAATGTGCAGATTACTTTTCTTTTCTGAACTAGAACCAAGAACTTCGGGGCGTGACTGCCGCTACTGCCACTTTTTTGAGAAGTGAGGGGTTAGGCCTCAAAAAAATTCCGGAAAACATTCCACAATCTGACGGTCGTGGCCAACGCATACTACTACGCTCATCTCTCCACACCACTTACAAAGATTTCCATTCACATCTGCAAATCCACTGCAATCGACCAAAAGTTGCCTGTCAAAAATATGTGAGATCACCCTTAATTACGGCCCATATACAATGTAGAAGAGTGCAAGGCGATCAGCGTTTGATGACAGAAGAACCTCAGTTTTTCTGCTATGAATTAGATCGATTCCTTTGATCCATACATGCTTCGTCCCATCAATGATCAAACATCGATCTGAGTACCAATGAACTTCCGTAAGATTAGCTTGCACCCGCTACAAGCATCAAAAACCAATTCTCACTGTCACTGTTAGCTGCGCAGGGCGTGTCGCTTTTACCTTCAACGATTGCACTTATTCAAAGAGTCAGCACAGTCAATGTCGGGGTGTGTTGACTGTTCTGAATGTGCAAAATTTAGTCAGGTGCATCCCATTTTCATTACAAAAATCGGTAGCACTAGGCATACAGGGCATCATTTCTGCAGCAGTTTCTCTACAATTTAGATAACTGCCTGGGTGAGGATGGACTTTTGCAATGCCTATACAAGTTCTGCAATGGTTCGAATGAAACAACATAGCTCCCTCATATATTCGGAATAATTAACGTTATTATATGCCAAAAATTTCGTTCCAAGTATATTCACCATATGGTTGAGAGCACGCTGTACGTAAAAAATCAAAAATCAAACTTACATGCACCGCCATACACGACGTCTTCGTTATTTTCTAAGAAGAACATCTCAGGATCTCACTTTGTATTTTAGGCACTTGTACGATGAGCAGATGGAGTTGCTGCGAAGCACGCAGAAAGTGAGATGGGACGAGTTTAGCTACCAGGCAGGTTGTATCAGAAATGGCCTGAAATGGCTGAGTGAAGGATTCTCCAAAAAGCTACATTATAAGAGGAGCGAATGATCACGACATCAGAATACCAACAGACGATTACGAAATTTGATAGCGAAAGGAGTCGATATTGTAATGTGAATCAACAGCTGCTTATACAGCTAAATGCTTGATAAAATCACGCGACCAAATGCTAACCATGCCTTTGGACTGGTTTTTTAGGCAACAGCGAAGACGGAGGCGTCATGGCCGAGGTTTTTGACCACCACTGAAGGCGTAGGCGTCAACACGCACAACAAGGGGGTCATTCGGGCTGTGGTGCTAACAAGCAAGAGAATCGATGAAGATACACGAAAAAAGCGCTGCACTACTTCAGGAGAGAATCTCCAACGTGGAACTTTTCGATGCCATGAATGGTTACGAGCGCCATAAGGCAGCATTGCTATCGTCGTTTGACTATCAATGCAGAGGCCGCTGCGGAAACCGCACGTAGCGCCACGAGAATCAACCCTTCACTCCCGATCTGCCGTAAAGTACTCGCCGAGAAGCTAGCAGTGCCTACCACCTGCCCCGCGAATGGCGACGATCGCGTGCAATCGCACTTGAAGCATCTCTGCTATAATAGAGGGTGAAAAAGTTCTAGTCCATGCAGTGCAAAAAAAAAACAATCAGGGATAGAGCTCTACGATTAAGCTATAGTAGTGTTTAACTCTTGCACAACCAGCATTTCGAAAATATGACACTCCGGATAAGAAAAACCTCAATCCTCAAATTTGAAAGTCCTACTTCTCCGGATATTCCAGTCAAGGCACATCTGACTGGGTCTCCAGACAGATACGCTAGGTCAAACTTTGGCTATGAATCCTGCTACTCTGTCTCGTGTTACTCTCCAGAATCCTAGAAACTTCGGCAAAGGTTCACACTTGTTATAAGGAAGGGACTAGACTTATACTGGCACAACTCTCCACCTTACCAGCAAAAGTTACACAAATGTAACTTCTACTTCTTTCTCTAAACGTCACTTCTACTTCTTTCTCTTTGCCTTTCAAAACTCTATCATTCTTCTCTTTCATTTTTTCAGACTTTTGATAAATGATTTCCGGGAGCATGTGCTGATAAAAAGACAGTGCGAAAATTCAAGCTTTTCGATAAAAAAAATAAAGGATGAAGGATTCCGCGTCTTCATCGCGTCTTAATCTATTTCAAAGTCGAAGGGACTACCGAATGCGTGCACCAATGACAATGACTTGCGGGGCCAGCGGATTGCCTAATCAGTGCTTTTATCCCAGATTACTCTGGTACAAATTCAACGTCACCGAAGAGTACTCAGACAGCGGATCGGACCCCTCCGCCGGAGAAGTGGCAGGGTCGCGGCGTATCCCCAGCGGTGGGTCTCCCATTTGTCCGGCGGAGCCCTCCCATCTTCTGCTCCGGATACCCCCTATTTTCTGCTCCGGATACCCCCCATTTTCTGCTCCGGATACCCCCCATTTTCTGCTCCGGATACCTCCCATTTTCTGCTCCGGAGCCCCCCGATTTTGTGCGCCGGAGCCCCCCGATCGCGGCATACTGTAATTAGCCCTAATTAAAGGCAGCTTCCAGGCAGATCTGGACCTATGGGGCTTTTACATGGAAAGTACTTTTGGGGCCCTAACCACTGCCGAAGCAGCAGCTCAGGTAGTGCTCTAATGGCGGAGATATTCCCCTCGAAACAGACCCCCGCGAACGTATTCGCATGGATTAATGGCAGTTTCGCGCCAGGATCCACGCTTTGCGCCATGAATCCATGCGGAATACGATCGCGGGGTCCAGTTCCGAGGGGAATATCCCAGCCGTTAGAGCACTACCTGAGCTGCCGGTTGGGTAGTGGGTTAGTTAGGGCCCCAAAAGTACTTTCCATGTAAAATCCCCACAGGTCCAAACTTGCCTGGACGCTGCCTTTAAGCTCCAAACCCCAATTTTGTCTCTAAACCCCACCCAAATAAGCCGAATAGGACCCCCCCCCGGGTAGGAGTTTAGCGCGACCCTCACCCCGTACTCTACCCCCTCCCTCTCACCCCTAGCGTTTGTGGATAGAAGATAGAAGAAAGAACGAAGAGATAAGACATTTATTTCCAATTTTTCAAACTTTCGAAAAATCTATTTATCTATCTCCAGCATACGTACAACAGTTACTTCATATTACAAAAATCATACTAGGAGTTAGAGATAAGAATATTCAAAGAAAAACTAATTTCCTAGTTGCAAAAAGAACCTTGTAACACCACAGTATAAGCATATGGTTTTAACATGGTAAGAAAATGACAAAAAGATCAAAAAAGCATTCTGTGCAACATGAAACAAAACAGCGAGGAACGCCATAAACTCACATTTGCAAAGCAGAGACATATTGTTTAAGTCGATATATACATGAGCTATATTCATCCAAACATCTTCGAATTCCGAGGCGATAGCCACTCGGCCTCTGCCAATTTGAACCTGATTTCCACCTGAATACGAGTGACTAGAAAAGATGAAGCTAAAATGTTCGCAAACATCGGAGACAAAAAATCACTCGGACAACGATATCATGAGTTTCTGATTACTTATGATACGGTAAGACGTTTTATAACTGACATTGCTGAGAACAACAACTGAACGAAGCTAGATGCGATAAGATTATACGCACTAATCTCGTGCTGCCTGTCATAAGGTTGCTTACGAAAAGCGAAAATGAAAAACGACACTAACAGCGAATGTATATTGCCTGAAGTTCCCCCTAGCGATCTCCATAAATTTGACATAACAGCAGAAGTATATTCAGACACTTTCCCACGAAAGCAAAGAGGAAAATTCAAAAGATCAATTTGGGACAGCAAATTTTTGGGCAGTCTCTCTCTATCTCACTCTCAAAAAAAGCGCTGCAGCTGATGAAAACAGCTACGCTTAGGATGTAGAACAGGGATTGGAGCTACGCAGAACAAGTTAATCAGCTTTCGATGGTCTTTTTTTTGTTGGAAACAATGGCACGAAATTTTTTTCTATACTGGAGGGAGCAAAACAATATGTCGAAGAATATGCCCCATCATATTTCAGTCTAGCACACACTGATTGATTGCCTACATTTAGTGTGTCCCGCATGACCAAACTGACAGCCATCACCAACAAGAAAAAATACAGTCAATAGAGCTTGCTTCACGATCATCTCTTCCAATGTTACTCACTTCCTACCAAAAAAAACTTAATGTCTGCAACTGTTGGTGACATATGGCAAGTAAAACAATAATAACGCAACCAACATTTGAAACAAAGAAAAGATGGTATGGCACATAATTCGTCCAGAATTCGGACTATTGCTCCGTTGCAGATAATAACGAGAATTATTTGAACACTCACACAATGACTCATGTGAAAAGAATGCCCGCACTCACCTTTGTGGCATTTTTCTGCACATTCTGTCCTCCAGGCCCACTTCTTAATGAGTATCGTTTCTCTATTGATTCGGTAGGGATGACGCCATTGAACTTGGTACCAGTGGACGAAGAAGCAATCTGAGAGATAAAATTACCAGTCGACCTGATGATAAACCGAAACAATACCTTTACATGACCTTATAAAGATAAAATACTGAGCTACATCTTGAACTGTTATAGCAAATCACAGCAAAACAAGGAAATAATGAACGGCTACTAAGCAAGGAAGTGCTAAAACTTAACCGGCCATACCAAACAAGCTATATATCATCGGACTCGCATTGAAACGCTGATCTCGAATATATGTTTGATATCTGCCAAACGACTATCTGGAAGGAGTTATGAGCGCTCAAATGGGCGACTTGTCAAGTGTTCTAGAGCGCATGTTCCACAAAATACTTTCATAAAGCACTTAGGTTTTTCGTGGAAGTGCTTCTTTCTTATAATTGAACACCCATGGCCACTGTGATTCCGCACCCTCAGGCTCCCTTCTAACAAACTGTATTCGTTGGAACCGGAGTATTTTCTCGTATTTAAACGCTCATAACTCCTTCCAGATAGTCGTTCGGCAAATAAGCAGAATAAACATATATTTGAAATCCCAAGGCGAGTCCGATGGTATACATCCTGTTTGGAATAGCTGGGCTAGATTCTGACCATTTTTTTTTCGTAAACAAGGAAGGGTTTCTGTTTCCCGTTAGTACCGATAACACCATGCCAACTCGGCTCTTAATATAGTATCAAACGCTCACAACTCTTTCTAGAAAATCGTTCCGAAGATGCAAGAGGTAGACTGAAAATCAGCTGATCAAGACGCTTCTGATGATTCTGATTTTTCTGATACACATTTCACACCATATTTCAGTGCAACTTGGAACCTTTCCGTAAGCAGGGTCAATCAAAATGGTGAAACTTATCAACAAAAAGTTCACGAAACAAATCTATCGGATGAAGATGCTGACCTGAGTAATTGATGCAAGTGAAGTTAGATGCGGAAGCCTTCTTGAAATTGAATATAAGGGCGATTCAATTGCCTAAAAGGTCTTGATTGAAGGATGGAAGAGAGAGGCTGCATGGGGAAGCGTGATGGAGAAAGTGCATGTTGGATTACTAGGAACTGAAGAGCGCAAGGAAGGAGGAAACAACTGGTCCTGGCTTAAAAAACAACGAGGAAGTAGAATGTCATATTTAGGACCTATGTGAATTAAGCTAACGAGATCTCTGAAACATGAGCAAGAAAGGATGATGTAACTGAAAAGTAACTTCGTATCCTCAGCACACATAACAATAGTAAGAGACAGATACGGGAAGCAAAAATATACGGCGCTGCCATTTCAATCACTCCGAACACACAAAATACATTTGCTGTGTTGGAACTTTGCACTCGAGATTTTTGATATGCACATCACCAAAACTCATTTCGCTCGAAAAGACCCGCCTCAAAGTGTTACGGTAGACGTACGGTATGGATGATAACACCAACACTCGCTAATCTTGCATAGTGGATTCATGCGACATGTTGATCACAAGTTGCACTGGTAGATATATGAAATTGATCCCAGTTCCGACTCTTAGTAAGGTTTACTTCAACGGATAACATATTTTTGATCAGCATGATAATCCCTTCTAGAAAACGAAATTCAGAAATTCTCCAGATACCGTACAAACAATATAACCCCACAAAACTGCCTTCCATAAAATTATATTGATGGTTAATATTGCATTTTCATTGAACGACTTAATGTTACACTCACCAAAAAACCCTGGCGGTGGTTTAGAAACAAAAAAGGAAGTAGTTGCAAAACTGTACAAGTCGAACTTATAGAGTGAAAAAGCAGAAACTCGCGTAGTCGTGCAGAGTGCGGAACCAGCTTTGGGAACACGCTGCTATTTATGGTTGAGATAATCTTATTAACCAAAAAGATTAAATTTGTAAGCGTTTAATCGCTAAAGTCGGGTAATAACGCCGTCAAACCAGAGCTGATTACAACGACAGCTGCAGCATTTACATGAAAGCCTGAGAAAATGAAAAGACTTCCAGAGGAGAGAATGAGATACTTGACGTCATTACGAAATCGTGTTCGAGAATGAATGTCACAACGAAGTCGAAAAGTCATGTCCAAGTAGCAACAGAAGACATGATGTGTAGCTCTGGATATAAACAAGAGGATTTTGAACTCTTAACGGTGAGAACAAAACAACTAAACCCTGTAATTTCAGAAAGTGCGTGTGAAAAGACTCCTTCCAGAAGCTGAGCAAGATCTATCAAAACTTCAACATCGTTTGGAGTTGCCTCCAAGACTTTTGTCAACATATCTCTTGCCTTGTCCTATCTTTCAAGCCAAAAACGATATAGTGAGGATCTGCAACGTCTGATGAAAAGTCGATCGACTTGGTAAGCATACGTACGAGAGAGATAGCAATAAACGGATTATTTAGACGATACTTTCATCACAACAACACTAGATAGTTGCGCAACTAACCTCATTGTTTCGAAAATCCAGAATTAATCACAAAAACCACTCCATCAATAGTCTACGATGTCTCAGCAAATCGGAAAGAGCCAAACAATGAAGGTGATTGAGTGCAACCGCACGAAAATTTCAAACATAAACCTGAAAACGAGGAACTTACAGCAACATAAACGCCAACGCGACGAAGAGCAACGCGGAAAAGGAAAAAACGGTAAAGAAACGCGCAAAAACAACAGAATCAAAGAAACGGCGACTAAAATATGGACAAAGAGCGTAAACAGAGGACTCATCACCGTGGAGTTAGACGTTTGCTTGCTACGCGCCAAATCGATACGCAGCCTGCTCCGGATACCTCCCATTTCTCCGGCGGATACCTCCCATCTTCTGCTCCGGATACCTCCCATTTTCTGCTCCGGATACCTCCCATTTTCTGCTCCGGATACCTCCCATTTTCTGCTCCGGAGGCCTCCCATTTCTGCTCCGGACCCCTCCGATTTTCTCCGGCGCGTGTCTTCCAAATTTGGCGGACACGCGCCGCGCAGACCTCTGCGGCGCGGAGTCCGTCAAATCTGGCAGAGTCGCGCCGGAGAAATGGCGGACCTTTGCAGCAGGGCCGGAGAAGCCTCCCATTTGCCTGCCAGTGATGCCACCGCGATGGACCGCCCATTTGCCCTTCTCTCATTGGTCAACTGGGTCCGGCGCGACCCTGGCAGTTTCCGAGGGTCCGGCGGAGGGGTCCGATCCGCTGTCTGAGTAGAGAGCTTGGCTGGCCCAGGGGCGGGATCGAACTTTGGTCCCAGCCCGGTCATCTTCATACACTACGCCACTCGTCCCCCTCTTGAATAATTATAAGAAGATAAGCCACCAGAATCGGCATACAGAATTCAAAAAAAGCAATTTTATGTTGATCTAAATATATCTATAATTTACAACCTCTACGTAACTTGAAAATGGAACAAATTTTCAATTATGAATTTTCTCTTCCGTATTACGAACTTATGGCCTTACTTTTGTTATGCTAATGATCATGAGCGCAGTTCAATTCATCATATCACCAAAAAAAGAAATCGATCCTACAGCGTTTCATTTGTGAGCGTGACTGTAGGGATGGTCCAAATAACAGATTCAATTTCCAAACCCTAAAAAATAAATCAGAGGAGCTTATCGACCAAAGTGTATCGTCATCGGATAAATTAGTAGATAAAAAGATGAATAGTCTTTCTGATAGGCCACCGGCCACCCATTTTCACACGTATCTTGAGTTGACAACAAACATCGATCAGTTCGATAAGAACGCAGGAAGTTTCATTTTTCTGCGGGTAAAGAAATTGTAGAATAGATACGGCGATGAATGATTAATGTATCTGGATATCATGTGGAAGCCGCAGCAGAGATGAAGGTCAGCAGAGGCAGAGGGAAACAGCTGTGAATATATATTTTTTTGTAAATATCTCAGCCTTTGTGTTAGTCATTATCGTATGGAATTTCTACAAAGCGACTGTCCAATTGATAAAATTCTAAAGAAAGTGCTAATTCTTTTTATGATTCTTTCACAGGCGTCAACTAAAGAGAAAGCTGCAGTGGGTGATCACAAACGGGGTTAACGTCAGCCGGAAAGAAAAAAGTGTAAGTGACCGTAAAAAAAAACCCACATCGACACTTGATATCGAATGATTGGCGCTGAGTTCATATAAACACGCGCCGTCATGGGATCATTAAGCTCAGACTTGAAGTTAACGAAGTTTCACACATTCCGATGCGAAAAGCACGTCCTAAGTGCATCTGGGCCCTGCCAGGGAGGTGTGGGCGTCGTCACGTGGGGGTTTTGGAGGGTTACGTGGCACTAACAAGCCCCGATGTGAAAACATAGCTGTCATGCACCAAGCGTTCAAAGAGCGTCCAAACAACCAAGCGATCATGCGGATGCGCTGCTTATCAGCAGCGAAGCTGACCTACTGGGAAGAATCAGATAAGTGGAAAACCAGATATTTTCATTGAGTTCCCAGCAAGAGTTGGTGCTTATACAACGAGAAGAAACATCGCGCAGAGGCTACAGAAAAAAAAGCACGGAATGAAGCCAATAGAATCCGATAAGCAGACACTTGACGTATCAGTCAGTTTTGTCTGTCATTTACAATCCGATTATAAATGCTTTTACACTTAGATGGTCAGGTGATTAACTTAATCATCTACCGCATATTTTTTCTACTTGTTTGCAATCGGACCAATGTTGACAACGGTTACATAGGCTTCTAATTTTCTTAAATTACTATGACATATGTGGGCATTAATCTCGAAACCCCATATCTAATCAATAGTTTTTTTAGCGTACTGCTGAACCAAAGAAAAACAAGCTTGCGAATACGCATGGATTTATTTATATTGGAGAAAAACTTTCAAAGTGAGCCTTAAAAAACGCGAATTTGAGCTTCACTGCGTCAGTATGAAATCTGGAGAATTGATATACACAGGTGTGTGTACACTCCCAACGAAGAAAACAAGAACCTGACATTGTGTGCTATGCCAAAACATAGTTTATTTGTGGGCTATTCGTCAATTTTGGCAAACAAAACAACAGTCGATCTCGAATATGCGTTGTGGAACGATTTCCGATCTACAACAGCACTAGTAAACACAAAAACAGATAAAAATACGGCCAAAAGTTGATTAGAGTAATTTGCACCATTCCCTTCATGCTTCATAGGTAGCATCCCACTTACTAAAAAAACTTTAATACGCATTTCAGTAGTTATTCAGTTCACACAATATTATTTCGCGCTCGGTGATCGGAGATGAGACTACAAACTACGCCTCATGATAAACATCCACGACACACTCATGTTACAAATTTTGATGGAGTCTTCTTCTGGATCAGTGTAAAAAAATCCCATACAATAGTAAACAGGCTTCTCCCGTTTTCATTTTGATAAGTGTGGAGTTTGTTCGGCTATCACATAAGATAACGCGCCAGAATGCATGACCTTAGGATGTAGTAAACTCACTACTACGTGTCCACAAACTGAGTCAAAATTTGAAGATTTCTTATTGAATCAAAACGATTATCCTAATTTGGATATCATCTGAAAATTTTCTTCCTCTTTCATTCGACACATATGACTTTCTTTGCTTCCAATAATGTTAATTTGAAATAGCAGTGGAAATACCGTTCGACTCTAGCAGGAAGGAAAGTAACAAAGCGTGATATGATTTCTCAATCTTCTCCAAAGATATATCTTGAAAACGATGGAAAAGGTGGTAACGACATCTTCATATTGCCTAGATGCTCATCTAAAATTACAAAGTTTTTTGTCCTGAAACCTGTAAAAGTCTAAAAATAATTGAAATTTCTTTTACAGCACTTTGAACAACAAGACCTAGATACTACATATCTTGAAAGCAAAGGACAAGTTGGTTCCGCTAAGCTTCCTTGTCGCTATCGGTGCTCTTCGATACAGAGATTGATTTTAAAAATTTGATATGCCAACTTATGAGCACCTACTACCTTACACAAGGATTTATCTTCTTTGGTTTCAGCCATGCATACCAGTCGACTGGATCAAGAAACTAGCAGAGAAACATAGACATCATGAGTAAGTTCAAACAAAAGCGAAGACGCAGTTTTATAAAAAGTTACTCGTGATAACAGCAATTCAAAAAGAAAAAGCGCACTTTCTATTTGCCAACGACAAACATCCAAAAAATCGATCCAGCTCGCACAAAAGCTTGTTCGAACGATGTCTGGTTGTTTAGCTAACATAATTCACTCAGGCAGAGCGAAGCATGGTACTAGGTGATTTTCTTCTGTTCAAAAATTCGTTTATAGGCAGAAGACTGAGTGGACAGAATACCACCGTCTGATTATTCATCACCCCGCTCGCCACTGAGTTGGGATTATCGACTGTCACATGAACTAATCACGTCTAGTGAGATTTTTGCAAAAAGTGCACTACACTTCATTGTAAAGTCAATTACGACCTATATTCAAAATCAGAGTGCGGAAATAAAAGCGGTAGCTCATTAATAATCTCCGTAATTCACAACATCTACACTTGATGGAGTTCAAATCAAAAATAACGAGCAAACTCAATAAACGCCCTACTATTTCAATGCCACTGCCACTCAACCGTACATGAGGGAATTTTGAACTAAAGAAACAAGGCATCACTCTTCCAGCAAAAACAGTAGAAACTGCGATAACTCAACAAAGATCATGCGTCGTTCCCAAAAAAAAGCGAGTCGGGCTTTGCAAAAGTTTGCATTTGATATGGCGCCGATGAAAAAAGAGCGAACATTGCCACAAAGACCGGTACAGCGGGAAGCCGGCAGAGTCGCGGGGCCTCTCCAGACAGACTGGATCTGTTGGGGGACTATAATCAATGACGAGAACATGTGGGAAACAGAGGAAAAAACGAGGGATGTACCAGATGTGTATTTCCTACTGATTATTAGATAAAGATGGTGAAACTGAATAAGTATTCCTTCTGCGCTTTGGAAAATTCAAAAATAGAAGAAGTGCAGAAGCAAGGTGCATGAATTTGAAGGAATAAGCCAATTCATATATTTTCAGTGGTGCTACTGCTAGACTTCAACCAATATATCACTCACTACGTGAATCCAACTCAAAATATCCAGCTCAAGACAAGATGATGATAATCAAATTCAAAGATTGTGATAGACATATAAATTACATTAACTATCACAAGTACTTCTATGTTGTAAGACTATGAGTATATCTTATGCACTTCACACTGCACACCTGTCTTCTTACATGTGCACACTGGGTGCATGACTGAATCTAAGGAATTCAAACAGCGTTGCACTTGATAAGGAAAGCATTCTCTTCTTCTAACACTCGTGCTAAGGAAATTGTTAGAGGGATAAT